ACATACATACATACATGCATACAACATACACGAACACAATACACATGCCCACATCCATGCAAGCACATACACAGACAGGCCAAAGATACCTGCAGTAATCCGTACACACACAGGAATTTGGTGTATACAGACTATTGCTTACACATCTTGCACGGAGCTGGTTTTATGGCAATCATCTGCTGATGCAAGTGTCAAGTTGGTGCGAGCCCCTGGCCAGAACTGTAGATGCCGACGAGAAAGATCTAAGGTACCTCGTCGTGCTTGCAAGTTGTGTCATGTTGTGTCCGCTGCCCATCGTCTTCGCCTGCATAGCTGAACTCATTACAGTCCTTCCAGCCAGATAAGCCCTCTGCGATGGCATGGAGGTCATTAGTAGGCCCGCCGAGATTGGCAGCAAAGCACCTGTGAACTCGAATGTCCGTTTACGACAGTACCACAAAACACACACATCCAGTCGCAGTTGGCCTGCACTGAAAAGCCAACATGCCACCAGAAAGAGACGCAGGATGAAGCTTGAAGATGCACCTGAGCGCACGACAATGAACGCTTCTTTGCAATTCCAAAAGCCTATAATCCTTCCAGAGGGAGACGGAGTGCGGATATCCATGCAGCTGCAACTCAGCAGTCGCACTGTACAGTGTGCCGGAGATCCCCCTTAACGATCCGGATATCACTCTGCCACCTCTGCCCTAGCAACGTCCAGGCGCTGTTTAGTGGAGCGCAGAGCGCCGCCAGCGCGGCAAATGCGCAGGCAACACGAAGGGCCACCTCGGAAGAACAGCACCCTGTATGAAGGTGTCACAGGCAAGTTTGCTTGATTGGTCAGATTCAGATGCCTCGAAGGCGGTTCCGATAGACAAGGGACTGTCCAGAAATTAGAACCTGTTCTTGGAAATCCTCAGAAACCCAGCTGCTGTGCAGTGGCGTGCAGGCATTAAGATCCGCACCGCATGCATTCCAGCCTGTCACTCGTCAACTCAAGATGCCCCTCGCACTTCACACAATGCACGAAGCAGCTGGCCTTGAAGCCATCCACTCGATAGCAGGCGATTGCCCCAACGTAACTGCAAAAAGAAGCACTAAAAAGGCTGGGTGCACAAGCGCCTCACCTTCTTGTAACTATTTCCATGGCGACAGCAATGCAAAAATTCATGCCGATGGGTCGTTCCAGCGGCAGGGCAGCAGGATAAGATTAAAGCAGCCAACATCAAGGAGACCTTGGACCCCAGAGATTTCGGCACAACTTCCACTCACCTGCCCGCACTAAAAGCCAAGCTGGCAGCCAGGGGCGACGGCGCCCCATCGCTAAGTGCAAGATACCTGACCACCGCACGAGCTCAAGGCATTTCAGGCGCTGGGACGGGCCCTCTAAGCGCTGCGAAGCCACGGGGCTGTCCAGAGAGCCAGCCCCGCCCCCGTGGCGTGGAGAAGGCAGAGCCTTGAAAGAGCGAAGCGACAATGCAACACTTCCCCCAAAGGGTCTAAGTACTTATATGGTAGGTACTTTGGGGCTCAAAATACCTACTATACGGGTACTTCGACCCTTTCGGTCCTAGGTAAGGTGCAAAAAGCAGCTCTCGCGCAGGCTTAGCTCCTGGCACGCTCGAGAGGGACAGGGTCAAAGGATTCCTGTTCACACCTCATTCTCAGTCTGCAAAGGGGACCAGGGTCCCTTTCATCTGCTTAGTTGTGAGGCTGCAAGCACGGGAGCCTTGAAGCATCTCTCGCAGCTCCCGCATTAGGTTTTGCAATCGCCTAGGGCCAAGACATTGATTCCGCACCTTGCTACTGTGAAGGAACCCAGTGCAAGTCTCACGCGTCCTGCCCCGCACTCGCGTCCAGGTCCCGGGCCCGAGCTGTGCATCCGGCGAGTGCAAAGCCAAAGAATCCAACCTCAAGGTCGGCCCGGCTGTGCTCTGAGGTATCTTGAGTCCCCACGGATGGCCACCGCACTGAAATAGTCGCCCACTTGAAGTTCATGGGAGGTGGCCCATTAGCTCTTCTTTTCTGGTGCTGCACTTGCTCAACACATCTGTCAGATCTGCTTCTTCTCCCACTTGCACGGAAGAGCCGCTTTCTCTGACAAGCACATCGCACTGAAGACTATATTACTTCTCCTTTGGAGTTGAGCCTGACATCAAAACATCTCAGCCTGGTAGACCCAGCTGAGAGCGAGCAGGCGAGAAGTCACTTCAGTTCTTCAGTTTCTCGCAATCAAGTTCATATCTTCATGCAGATAACTCTGATAAACCCTAAGGGGCGTATCTCAGGCATCTTCGAGTTGCCCGTTGCTCCCCAGGGTGGAGAGGGTGGGCCGAAAATTTGATGCGCTCGAGCACTAAAGGTTGTGCATGCAATGAGTTCGCAAAGCTGCATTGGAAAGAGTGCAAGTCATGTTCCATGAATGATCACTCTCACAATGCACTCATCGCACGAGCTTCTTTTTAAACGTCGGGGGCGTATCTCATCAGGCATCTTCGAGTTGCCCGTTGCTCCCCTTTAAAGTGAAACTCGAAAGAGGCTCTCTGGTAAGCCGTCTGGTCTGATCAGCTCAATCAAGATTGATTCCGGTAGGCTGAGGTCTCCAAGAGACTGGCCCTGGATCATCTCGGCTGCTTCTAGGTGCTTGCCTCGTGAAGGCAGGTCGGACAAGTTGCTCGCCGTGGGTACGCGCTCTACCCACGTGGCACATGGGTACTGTGCCTCTGGGAGGTAAAACGCTCGGGCGAGGGCCAGCATGGAAACCGAAGGGCTGCTAGCCTTAATCAATGTCCAGCGAGCTGCCTCGTTGTCGATGAAGAACAGTGCCTTTCGTTGGCTGAGCCGCTGGGCGTAGTGGTGGCGAACCAAGACTGCCGCATAGGTTTCCACCTGGCATATTACCTGCTCGATTCCGAGAGATTGCCAGTGCGTCATCAGCCGTTCTGGCACAGTCCCATGATGGACTGCCCTGAGGTTGTTCTCAGGATCCAAGACAACGGCACCCCAAAGGGCGCATCCTTTCTCGTAAGACCCGTCGGTGAGGATGACGACTGGGCGCCCTCCGGAACAGCACTTCCAGCGCCTAGGCAGGGCTTCATCCAAAGCCTTCTTGGTGTGGTTCACAAGCAAAGTCAGGTCCCGGATTGAAGGGCACTCTGCCGCAGAAGCCAGGTTAGCAAAAGCTCTAGCTGCCAACTTGAGATGTTGACCCAGAGTCGAGCCATTCATGAAGTTGAGGATCCCATGGATGCTCTTGGCGGCCTGTCTGGATGACTCGGGAGCTGCAAGAACGCCATCCAACATTTCCAGTAGCTTTACCGTCCGGCTCGGTTTGTTGCTGACCTTAAGGTAGCCGTCGTGGAGCTCTGAAAGGTCTATCCGGGCCCCAAGCAGGCTGAAGGATTCTTCGAAGTCCCTACCCTTGTCGTCGTCTTTGGCATAAAGCCATCCGAGCTGGTCAAGAAGAGAGCACGCTGCTTTGGAAGCCATGCCGCAGCACGCGGCAGTCTCGAGCAACGCGTAGTCGTCATAGAACACGCCACCCACTATGGAAAGCAAGTGGCGTAGCAAATGAAGCAGCGAACGGCTGATGCGGTTGAACGAAAAGACGGACGCCGAGCATCCGAAAGGCATGCTGGCCGTGGTGAAGAAAACCGGCTTGCCCGTCTTTGGATCGTGCACGAGTATCACTCCCAAGGGAAGCGACTTGCTGGAGATGGGCACCTGCTTGTAAGCTTTGCTAAGGTCAAGGCAGCGGCCCTTGACCTTGGGCTTGGGCCCATACCCCGAGTGCACTGCACCTTGCAAGACCTCGCCGTCCGATAACACATGTTCGAAGTCGGGCCCCGTGGCAATGATCTTGCCGATGAAGGCTGCAAGTCCCGAGACGTAGTCTAAGTCGTGGAGGGACAGGTGCTCCAGGGCAGTGTAAGCCGAATTGATCATCGACTCTTTGGCATCGTCTATCACTCTGGGCTTGGGCTCTCCTGTCTTCGGGTCGGTGCCTTGAAGAATGAGGAACCTGCGCGTAACACACATGTCACCAGCACTGCATCCTGCACTCTGAGCAGCCTCCTCGAGAGATGCGAAAGGGCCTTGGATGAACCCTTTGTCCCTCTCCTTAAGAGTCTCGTTCCACAAGATCTCTTGGTGCACGGGATCCGCAGAGTGAGCTTGCCGCCCAATGAGGTCACGGTTCCTCCAGGGAGATGCTTTAGTGAGGTTCTCGTGGGAGGTCGTGGCAAGCTTGACTTTCTCTCCATACAAGGCTCTTGGAGGGGACCCCGGTGAGGTCTGTGCCAAGCATCAAATCCCATACACCCATGTCAGGGAACCCTGTGTCTTCTAGAAGACGTGCCCAAAGCAAGAGGGGTTTGGAACCTAGAACCCTTGGCACATGCGGGGGAAGGGTTGCCTTAAACCTTGCTTCTTCCACGGCAAGCTCCTTTCTGAGCTGACTCACCTTGGTGACGGCCTGAAGACGTTCCTTGGCAAGCTGCAAAGGTGATTTGGCGAGGTTTGCAAGGACTAACCTGGCGACATCGTCTTCCACTTGCAGGGCGTCGTAAGGGTGATTGCACTCTAGAGCAGCTTCCACGAACTCCAGGGGCGTGTGGTAAAGGCCTACCCTGAAGCTAGGCACACCTGACATGTCGACGTGGTCACGGACCTCCTCTGCGCCTTGGGAAACCTGCGAGATCGTGGTTTTTGAGGTGGCATCTAGTAAAGCATTGCTGTGATGTACCTCCTCTGCGCCTTGGGAAACCTGCGAGATCGTGGTTTTTGTGGTGGCATCATGTACCTCCCCTGCACCTTGGGAGGCCTGACTCACCTCTGCTTCTCGGGAAACCTGTGAGATCGTGGTGGCTTTTGAGGTTGCATCCATCCCCGTAGAAGTCCTCCCGCGCGGCCCCCGTGGTTCGAGGACTTTGTGTGGAGGAAGGCCTTCCAGAGAGGACACGTTACGAAAGGAAGCAAATTCGGGGATCAGAGGCTTGCCGCGTCGGGATTGCCTTTGAGCGGCCGCCAAGCGCTGCAAGTGTCCTGGCACAGGGGGCGAGCCTGGGAGCCCGCACGTCGGCATGAGAGCGGCGACACACCGAGTGCACAGCAGGAAGGGGTACTCGGCCTCGGCAGCAATGTCGGAACCCCAGCGACCGTTAAGGAAGCTGGGCGTCCAAGCGGAATGCTGGTGCTTGCGATCACAATCAAGCTGACGGGCTCGCAGACAGCTGGCCGAAGTGAGAAGGGTAGTTCGTTTGTCCCGCAGGGACCCATGCATACACGCCGAAAAGCTGACGGTCTCAAGGCGATCATACCATAAATGAAAAGCCTGGCAGGGGATTTCATGTGCCAAGACCCGCAGCAAGGCCCAGGTATGGGCACGAGCAGGATTCTCAACAGCAAATGGTGCGCGGGTTTCCCAAGCTCTGTAAAGCAGACGTATGCACAGACGAGCCAAGGAGTTGGCCCTCTGGACCTGAAGGAGATCTCGCCCCTGCAAACCTGGGAGGCCTAAAGGGTGGGCCTGGCTTCTGAGCGGGCGAGGCTGAGGACCGTCACCACGATGCAAAGTAGCAGGGACCGGGCGTTCGCGCGCCCGGGAACTGGTCCCGCAAGGCAGTCCTATGTGCACAAAGGACGGCGGCTGAGAAGCCCAAAGGCTAAGAAGATGATCCTGGGCCGAAGCCTGGCTTAAGTCAAGAAGCAGCAAAGGCAAGCACGGTTGGTGCCGATTGTGCTGGTAGTCGACTGGAAGTACCTGAAAACCGGCGTGGGCGGCCGTGAACGACAGCCTACCTGAGCCGGCAAAGATTTCCCAAAGCCACGGGCCACTAGGGATCGGGGCGGCAGAAACCCTAGGGGAACCAGGAGGCCTACCTAAACCCGGCGGCACGAGTGGACGGGCGTCCACATGCTTAGGCACAGATTTGATTTGCCCTTATCGGCCGAGAAGTCTGCAGGCTGTGGCGGCAATTCGCGGGACGGAGCTGGCAGTGGCAGTCCATGAAGAACGGCGGTCTGGCAGTCGGCGGCTGAAAGGCGGGCCGAGTCGCGAACTGAAAAGCAAATCAAGACTGTTCTTCGGCCCTTCCAGGGTAGAACGCAATGCAAAAGAGAGCGCGCACTGAAGAAAACTGGCTGGCCGTAAGGTAGGCTGAGGGCATCGCCATTCAAGATGCGGCCGTGGTGCAGCAACGGATGTTGCCCGTGGGCTGCTGGGCTGCTTCGGTCCACAACTCACCACCTTGGAACCTTGAGCACGCAAAAAGGCAGTTCTGAGTGTCAGCATCATTGTGACTGTCGCGATGAAGACCGGCTTGACAGTCGCGGACTAGGGAAAAGGAAGTGAAGCAAAAGTCGGGGGCCAGGCGCCGGGCGAACAAGCACAGCAAGCGGCACACCCACGGGAACTTTCGAGTTCCGGCCCGCAGGCCACAAACCCCTCCATGGATGTACAGTCCTGCACTGAATGCGCGGGTAGTGGCAAAATGCTGGCCTCGCGGAAATTCTCCTGCCGGCAGAAGATCCAAAAGCTTGTCCAAGGATTGAGGCTCTATGTCGGGCCTATTAATTAAAGCATAAGCTTGGCGCTCGGCTTGGTGAGAGGTGCGATCGGGCGCACTCAAGTGGCCCCAGTCGGCATATCCCAGTGCAACTTCGGCAGCGGAAGACCCGGGGTCGGCATGCATGGTGAGGGGCTCTGAACTAGGAGGCGCAGGCGAGAGCCGCGCCTCCTGTTGCCGTCAGGCATGTTTGCACTCGTTGAACGAGAAGGGCGATTGCAACCCTTGTTCCAACACACATGAAACCCAAACTTGCATCGCTTGCCCGGCTTGGCGAAGGTGCAGCCCTTAGTGTTGAAGTTGCGGCAGCACGGCTTGTTGGCATCCGTGAAAGCTGAGCAGCCTTCGGGCAGAGCTTGGTCAAAGCGCTGCTTCTTCTTTGGGTTACCTTTGCCAGGCGGGTCAGGACGCTTAGGGTGGTTAGGGTCGGGCCTAGGCGGAGGCTCAGTGGAGGCAGAAGCAGCCGGGAGAGGCTGCAGCAGTAATCGCACCTCAGTACGATCCATGTAATACTTGATTGCTGCATCAACGGGTTTGCTGTTGTCAGACTGCATGGCAACATTTCCCCGTGTGTACTCACTGACCAACTGCCACAAACGCTTGTCGGCCTCCTGCACCTGCTGGACAGTGACTGTCCGGTAGCCCCTTGGAGGCTCTCGCAGCATTTCTGCCAACAAGGTCTCGGTCCAAGTCTCGAGTTTTGTAGTCGACCATCCTCGACAAGTCGTAAGCCAGGGCTCTGCGTTGAAGAGCTTGCCGAAGCCTTGCATCGCCGACCAAGCGGGCCTCAAGGTGATCCTCCTGGGCTCGGGCTTTGAGGCCCCCGCTAGCGTCAAGTGCAAAGCTGATGACCTTCTTGACCTGCACTGCTTCCTGGGCCCTGGAGGTAAGCTGTCCCCATGGAATCCAACTGATGCAGCCATCGTCTTGTTGCTGAAAGACGCGATCAACCAGAGCATGGGAGGGCTCGTTATCCAAAGTCATGACAACCCCTTCAAGCCTAGCTCGCTGGAGCTCGGCCCTTGAAGAACGCTCGGCCATAGGAAGCTTGCGGGGCTCAGATGCGTCCGTGCGCTCGATGCGTGCACGCATGTCGGCAAGGCAAACTGTATTCGCTTCGAAGTAAAGTCTCCTGAGGATGGGCTTCTCTGCAGCAGTGGGGGCACGGCCCATCACTTCTTCCAACGCGGTGAAGAGAGGGGCTTCATCTGCCATTCCTGGTTGGTACGCTGACACAAATGCCAGCTTGCCCAGTGTGTCAACCCCATTGTCAACAAGAAGAGCCGTGGCGGCCTCTGGGAGGCCGTAGGCCTTGGCCTTGTCCCTCAGAACGGCCTCTGACTCCAAGCCTGCTCCTGCCATGGCTTCGATCTGGACCCGAGGACAAGTACCTAGCAGGACATGAAAACATGAAGCATGCATGCAATGGCGAATGCTCTAAGCTGCATCACTGAAAGGTGCGGCTGGCGTCGAGCCCTGCAAGACTGGTGCGCGCGCCGTTAGAGTAGTCGACATGCTGATGCCCGAGAGACTGATGCATGCGACCTCACTCGGAAGCTAGAAGCCTCGGATTGTTTACCTTTCGGAAACGCGGCTACGGCTGAGATGCCGCTAAGGTTTCGCCCTCCGGACGATAAGCGGGCTCAGTTGCCCAAACACTGGCTGCACTGTGGATGGAGGTCTGGTAGAATGTCCCCCTCGAGTGCTACGTAGTTGCTGTTGAGGAGTCTTCCGCACTTCAGGCGATCCTCTGAAATTTTAAAATGCAAAATGCCTGTAAGGACATGCTTTACAATCTCCTCATCCGGGGCCACTGGCTGTGGCAGGCCCGGAAGGTCGGAGCTCAACTCGTCCGGCTCGTCCTCCAGGTCTTCGGAGGCGCAATCTTCCGATCCTACTTCGGATACTGGCTCATCGCCGTCAACCACCGTGTGGCGGTCCAATGTCTCGCCTTGCTCCACCAAGGCTTTCAAGCGCATGACCCTCGAGAGGTCTGGGTCGAGAACTCCAGTTCGGATAAGGTGAAGGACTCCGAAAACCAAAGCAGCCAGACGCGTGCATTCATCTCGAGAGTAGCACAAGGGAGAAGCAGCATTCTTGTCTATATGGTGCCCGATGAGTCGGCGATCCTCGAAACTCACCTTTGCACTTTTCGAGCACCAGCTAAGCAGGGTGCTTTTCAAGCTATGGCTGGAGACTTTCCAGCACTCCGACGGATCTATGCCACCGTTCGCCAGGATTTCGCGAAGACAAAAGCTAGCCTCACCTGTACTCAGCTCCCGGTTGAGAAACTTGCCTGTGTTCCAGGAGTAGGCAGGTAGGGCCCACCCGCAGTTGGGAGGCAAAACCTCTCGGGCTTCCTCCCAGCCATAAGCCCAAGGATAATCAGTCTCCAAGCCGATGCCCAGAGCAAGGAGCGGCAGGAAGGTGGTCTTCTTCTCCTTGCTGGTAGCCGTCTTGTAAGACCGTGTGGCAGTCTCAACAAGGACAATGGGACCGCCCTCTGAAACCTGGATCTTTTCCAGAGCTTGCGAATCACCAAATCGACAGCAGGCGTAGAGGCAGAAACAAAGGTGGCCGACCACCAAAGTCAAGTAACTTCCATCCCTGAGACACGCTGTCTGCTCCAGGACCCGAACCATCTCCACAGTGAGCGGAGGTGCCTGCTTGAGGCATCGCTTGCCTTCAAACATAGACCGGGCAGCTCCCCTCACTCGAGAGGACAAGAGAAAATCCACGCTCGGCTCCTTAACCCGAGCTACCTTGTATAAGTAGCTGAGTGCCTGAAGAAAGGTGGAAGCAGCTGTAGCTCCGCACTTGCTGTCTCGAAGGTGACAGATGTACCTGTACGCCAGCGTCTCAGTAGGCCGAAGAGGTGTGCCGACCTTGTTGCTGGTGACCCATTTGGCAAACCTCCAGTAGGCTGCGGAGTACTTTACCAAGGTTCCAGTCGCACGCCCAGCAAAGGCGTCTACCACGACCATGGAGGCTTCGTTGTCGCCTCCCATCTGCAAGGAGATCTCCCATAGAGTCTCACCCAAGACACTGGCCGTGGGCTCCGAAATCAAAAGAACTCGGAAGCGCTGCAGAGCCTTGAGGCGAAGCTCGTCGTCGGATTTAATGCTGGTGGCGTAGTACGCCCTCATAGCTGCGAACTCGTGCCCCGCCCGAGGCTCCTGCTTTGGAGGCGAAGCAACCAACGTCTGCAGATGGAAGTCCTTGGAACCCACCCGAGTGGGCTGCAGTTGTCTCGGCTTAGCCGCTCCAAAAACCATTGCCATAGGCCCCTTCTCCCAGGGAAGGAGAGGCCGAGCAGCAAGGGGATGCCCCAGCAGATGATTCGAAAGAAAATCGGCAGCTGAGGGGCGGCTAGACAAGCTCACAGATCCACTCTTCAAGAAGGTGGGCACTGGCGGAGACCTGGTCGTTGGAGCAGTCGGCGGCAGCGGAGGGAACCCAGGAACGTCGCTTCCCGCGGAGCTAAAGCTAAAGGCACCGAAGCCGCCAGGCTCATCATCCGAGCCTTCAGCGCTGTTCACCACCGACGGTGCTGCCTGCATTTGTGGTGTCGGTGTCCCTCGTCAGATCTCGAGCAGGGCCTGTCACAGAAAGTGCAGCGATAACCGCAGTGGTCTGGAATCAGAAGAGCTGGTTCGGATGATGCAGCAGGCGGCACTGGCTCTGTGGCAGCAGACTCGGCTCGGCCCAAACGATTCGCCAACTCCTGCAGGACCTGAAAGGCGAGCGCTAGCAGATCGGAGGTGCTCAAGGACTCGATATCCATGGCAAGATTCCCCCGGACCCGAAAATTTGATGCGCTCGAGCACTAAAGGTTGTGCATGCAATGAGTTCGCAAAGCTGCATTGGAAAGAGTGCAAGTCATGTTCCATGAATGATCATTCATGCTCGACTTGGGGATCCTGCAAGTTTGTCCTGTCTGCGTGGACTGGTTGGCAGTTACTTGAGACACGGAATACAAGTCAAAGAGGCTCATCTCTGCGACATGACCCACTATTCGGAGGCCAGACGGCTAGATTCTCACAGATGTGTCTACCATGACAGACGCTTTGGACGTGTTTACTGTGGCACGTGGCTCTCCGAGCGCTGAGCCGGGCGGTCAGCGACGGATTGGCCGCGTCAATCTGCCAGGGGTGCCAAGCGGTGCCAAGCGACTAGCGGGGACTTGCGCGGCGAAGTGTCTCAGAAGAACGTGCTCTTCATGCCATGTGCTCATGCTCGAATGGCAAGTCCCCGCTAGTGCGAGCATATGAAGTATAGAGCGCGAGCAATTAGACATGAGATGGCAGAAGACACTTACGGTGCGCAGGCGCTACCTGCTGCGCAGGAATGATCGCCAATCGCAGTAGCACCTCATCAAAAACAACTTGCTGTCACCAATGTCTGATCTTGTGGCTTAGTTTCCGGCTCAGGACAACCACGACAACTACAAACGTAAGCAAGCCCGACCGGCCGGAACTCCTGCATCACTCCGGGCCATCGGCAAGAAAAAGTAGCGCGGCCTCCAAGAGCTGGCTCAGACTCAGACGACATCCGAAGTTTTCTTTTTCGTGTCACGACATGTCAGTGGACCGTTGACGCTAAAAAAATGGAGAAATGACACCGACATGTCAGTGGCCCCCGATACTCCCCGCAGGTCGTGCCTGGCCCAGCAGAGCATTTCGCCAGCTTCGCTGATCTTCTGCCACCGCGCCCGCGAGGACACCACAGAACTGGGGCGTAGGCAGGCCAAAGAATTTCGTCCGTATGCTACGCTTGCGCTGCCTGGCCAATCGGGACACCTGTCTGTACGATGGACATCCATTGGCCATGCCCTTCTGGCGGAGAGAACTCATCCACCTCACAACAAGCATAAATGTCGTATTGGACAACAATCGATGCACAGGCCCAAGACCCGTGCCCAGAATGGGAGGTAAACAAGTGGCAGCCTGGCTGAATATCGCGGCATCAGTTGGGCTCGAAAATCCACAGTGCAGGATGCCTTACCCGGCTTACCCAGCATGTAAACCACGAGTCTCAACAGCAACCACAAACGCAAATCTCAAACCGGGCTGCTGCGCGCTGCAGCGACTCCAGACCCCAAACGGAGGACCTCAAGCCACCAACAAATTGGGCTGTGACTGAGTCTACGGGGAAAGCTACAGCTTGCACAGCTGTGCTGCGGCATGCTCTCAGCGATGCTGCAATGCGAGGTCCCAGCGGCCGTGATGAATACTCCTGGGTTCTCCTTCGATGCAAGGGAACCACCTGGATGAAAGCCCGGAAACAAATCTCGCAAGTCTTAAAGGCCGTTCCCTGAAATCTCCTGCAGGCCGAATGCCAGAGAGAAGGTTAGACTCGCCGTCAGACCCATGAGCAGCATTGCTTTTGCCGATGCCTGCGAATGGAGTGCGCCATCTTGAGATACTGACTGCAGACTGTACCCCTCGAGCACGACACCTGTTGGAAGAAGGAGCCCGCCAAGCTGTTGCCGACTGCCAATCCAATGGAGTGCCAGGCGAGTAAGACTACCTCAAAGAAAAGAAACCACTGCCAGCCGCGCCGGGACCCTGGACATCCCTAGATTCCTAGATCGTGCAGGTCTGCGAAAGGACAGCGCATCTGCGCCAACTCGTAGGCTGCTGACAGCATGTCCGAAGGATGCACCGTGAGAGTCAGCGTTGCCCCAATTGGAAACCTTGCAATTGCTTCTGAACGTCACCGATCGATTGACGCTCATGGCCAACAGCACCAAGTTGGCTTTACCTAAACCTACAGCACCTACCCACAAATTGCAGAGCCGGGAAATAAGCTGAGGAAGCAGCATCCATCGCCGCCACTGTCGCGGCCCCACGGTCGAAGTGCTGAGAAACCGCACAAAAGCTTGCGAACGATGCTCGACAATTTCGCGAAGTGTAGACATGTGATTGAAGGAAGGAGCGAGGAAGTAAGGAGCGCTTCCACATGTTTGACTGGTTGGCATGACTGTCTGGTGAAACCAATATCTCCAACACAAGCCACAACACACCTGACACAAACTACGAGTCTCCAAGTCGTGGACCACCAGTGCCTGAGCATATGCCATGAGCGGAGGGCAAAACACCGTCAGCCAAGCCACTCACAATGCCTGCAAACTGACCCTGGGGGTGAAAGCAACTGCACCAACACCCCGTTTGACGCGTCAAGCCATGCTTCTGAGCATCAAACAACGACCGCCACCCAAAGCTTCAATGTGGCTCGTCTAGGCCCAAGCCTGTGCGACAGAACACCACAAAGCATACAGCCGACAGTATTCCTCAATGCGGAAGGCAACTGACAGGAAGCGACGATTTCCAAACTCAGTCGGCCACAAGCCCAGCGCCGCGCGCTCTTGCGAAAGCTCCGACACCAAAGGGTCACGCCTTCAATGTCGTGAAAGAACACCATCAACATGAACCTTATGGTTTCACAGCTTACTAAGCCGGTATCTGAGGCACCAGCTCAAGCAACAGCATTGCAGTTCGCGTGTCCAATTACGAATTCATGCAGCAGGCACTAATCGCAACATGTATGAAATCGCCGCATGCAACCAAATCTTACACTTTTGCATTTAGTTCAATGCAAGTATCTGCCGGCATCGTTCTCGAACACATGCAAAAATACCAACACCACAAGTATTAACCATTCACTTATGATCCCACTCGAAGGCAAATGCTTACATGAGCTATTGGATACGCAACATTTGGCCTGGAACAGCTGCACAGATGGGCGGCATCGAACGATGGTTTGCAATGGCAACAAAACCATCAAGTACAATGTACTGACATGAAGTGCGCGTGAGAAAACCAGCCGACCCAAATATGTACGCAAAGTCCGACAATAAACATTCTTGCTGAATAACTATTCAAACCTTGTGCTGACGTTGAACATGTATTCAATAGTTTTCCAATGTGTCTGTTGCCGGGAAACTCGACTGATGTACATTGCACTGGTTTACGCAAACATGAAAGCTTGTTGGTGAAATCACTTTTGATGTTCGATACAGTTCCGTTCATTCAATTTCGTCTGATCTTGGCATTGATGATACAAACAACTTTGTGGAGAAATCTGTTTCGAATCGTACCCTGCTCAAAGTAGACGCGGAAAGCGAAACGAGTACTGCGGTCCTGGGATCTTGTGTTTTTTCTGGAACGTGGAAACCGCAATCATACTGCAAAATACAAAGCACAGGGGGCAACATGTCGTAAGACAAAATTATTCGTGTGCATAATCGAACTTCCAAGTCGAAGAGCTTTTTCTCAAAAGTTGGACCAGCAAGACACCAAACATTCATCCAGCCATCCCTTGCATTTCATCTCATCAACCTGTCCACACGACAACGTTGGGAAAAAGAACAAACTCACCTCTTCCAAACTTGGACAAATCCAGAAAAAAAAAAAACGTTTTGGAAAAAAGAAAAATCTCTTTCCAAATGTAATTCTCAAATGCTTTAAAATTCAATAAAACATGCAAGATATCTTGGTTACATTTTGCAGTCAAACCACACCAATTCAAGTATTGAAGCAAACGTTTTAGCGGCGCTGCAACCCACCTGGCAATTACTTTGCACATCAATCCAACTGCATTACAGCAAGAGAAACCACAAAGCTGGCTGAGAAAAAAGACGAAGTTTTCTTCTAAACCCTGAACCCTAACTTCTAACGCCTTAACCCTGCACCCTAAACCCGAAAACTCTAAACTCTATAAAACTTTAACCCGCTGAAGATGGCCTGGCCAGAATGTCTTACCAGCAACAGTTGGCAATCGTGATTGTACAGCTAAACCCAGGCAAGAGATGTTGAAATCCGTAAAATCTCTTGCGAGACCGAAGAAAGTTTTATTTATTTGATCAAAAACGGACGCCGTATAAACTTCCATGTTCAGATAGGCTTGCACTGCTC